GCGATAACAATGCCACTCGCACTGTGCACATTTTAGCACTAGATCTAGTGCCATTTTAGCACTAGATCTAGTGCCATTTTAGCACTAGATCTAGTACTTTTTCGGATTAGTGCTACTAGCACTAGCCACTCGCACTACGCCCATTTCGACACATTTACATACATGAAATGGTACATAAATTGTGGAAATATAGTAGTAAGACCAAAAAGTCAGATGGCTGTCAATCGGCCATCCTTGACCAGATTTTGAAACAAATTGTCATGGACATGCATCCTAACATGTATAAAGTACATGTATGTGCCAAATTTGAATGAAAACTGACAGAGCACATCCAAGATACCGCATAAAATAAACAAAAACAAGATGCCAGTCAACCATCTTTGATTCAATTGCGAAATAAATTGTCATGGACTTGTATCCTAACATGTATAATCTATGTACCAAGTTTGAATGACAACTGACAAAGCATGTCCAAAATACAACATTTTCAAAAAACAAGATGGCTGCCAGTCGGCCATTTTGAATTGAATCGCTAAACCACTGCATGTGCATATGTCCCACATAAAGTACTAAGCACATGCATATAATGAACTAAATCGGTACAAGGGATTCTGAGATATGACTCCAGACGGACACATGGACGCACATACGGACACATGGACGCACATACGCACGCACGGACGGACAGACGGACGGACGGAGTCCCCGTTTTCGGACTTCGTCCGAACGGGGACTAAAAAATGGAGTCACTTTCTCCACCATTAGCTACGAATAACTTAAACTACCGGTACTAGTTATTCTGTGGAAATTCTAATTAAACATCAGCAAAGCATTTATGTTACAAGGTAGCACATTTAACTTTTCAATTTTAAACAAATTTGGGATTTTTTATTTCTTTTCATTTGTAAAGTGGCTAAAGCAGTTTGAAATTGGCAAATAAAAAATGTTAGTGGTATTAGCCAACATGACTAAAACTACTGTAATATATTTTATTTTTGCTGGAATAAATTTTCACTGAAAAGACTTTTGGGTGTTTTGTATGGAATTTATTTTCATTGACTTCTGACGGGTTAAAAGTAAAATATAGGAAAAAAGGTATATTTGCTGGATTTTATTTTCACTGAATTATTCCTTTGGCGAAAATGGCGGGAATTAATTCCAGGTGAAAATAACTTATTTTACAATATTTCATCCTTAACGTGAATCAAGAAATTTGTGAAAAGCTCCTTTTCACCTTGAACACCACAGAAGTACACTGCTATTACTGAACTGAAAATGAGCAATCAGTATATAATGCATGAACTAAAATGATGCAATCAAACAGAATACTCACCAGTGTGTTTCAGAGATTTACATGACAACTCCAAGACTTGCTGAAGCTCCATGTCCTCAGCGCAAGGCTGACTCATATTTATATTCTCTTCCTGGTCTGTACCTTCACTTTCTTGGACATCACTTTCTTTGTCTTCCATTCTAGCAACCAGTCTCGCAAGTTTAGGGGAGTTTATTAGTTGTCGATGATGGGCAGGAAGTTGCAGCTTCAAACTTGTAGCTAAGTTTTCTTCAGTAACCCCTTCAAGTCTTGATGAAGGAAACAAAAGGGCTTATCAACATATACAAGCATGGCTTTTGTCAAGCATGCCACTTAGATCTGTCCATTTACCACATTTGTATTGATCATTTTTTTGTCTTCTCCTTGTGTTTGCATCACACTGTGAATTGATCAGTTATGGCAGCTCTGTATTTTATTTGCTCAATCGTTGAAAGAAATAATATACATTTTGTTCCAACTCAGGATTAACTGGAAAACATGCACAATCATATCAGTACGTTTACATTGTAGATCCCTAATATTTAATTAACACCAAATAAACTGCATGACAAATACAATGTCAATCTATGCATGTAATAAACTTGGTTTACTAAGGATGTCCTGTGGTTGAGAGGAACACCATGAATGACATAGGTGTTATTGGTAAAGGATTCACAACCTTTAACCTGCCAGCCTCAAATACTTTTACTTTCATTTCAATTTGGCTTGACCAAATATAAGTTAAAGACAAAACATTGTTGATATTTTACATAATTCAAACAAAATTTCAAGCTAGACACCAATTAAATAGAACTTACCCTGTACTCAGTTCTGTTAAAGTGCTCTTGTCTAACTGCTCTGTTTGTTCCATGAGCAGTAGCCGTGACATCTCCAGAGCACGTAGTAAATCTATTTGATCATTGTTAATGGTATTTTCCTCTTCACAGTAAGGAGGTGAATCTGTAATTAAAAAATGCCATTCAAGTTGTCATAGTTCAACCTGTTTAATTCTTTGTTTTTTTGTCAACTTTTGGCACCAACCACGAGATGATTTTGCAGTCTGCTCTTTCCTCATAAAATGTTGATATCAACTGTCAAACCTGTTGATCAAAAACTAAAAGCAATATCTGAAACTTGTTATATGATCCAAAATGATGACAAAATTTAGTGAAAATTTTTTAAAATGTGAAAATATTTGGACTGAATGTTGGGCAGAAAAAATATCTGGGATCCCAAACTTAAACCAATTTTATAAGAATACTTTGGGTTACACCTAATTTCAAGTTTTGAAAATACAAACTGTTGTATAACTACCTTATTGAATGCAGTAAGGATAAAATGAAAGTGTTTATATGATTGCTTACTTTGCAAAAATTTTATTAAGTAGAAAAGTCTGACAATCGATTTGTGTATGATCATATGGATCAGTGGTTAAATGCACCAACATGATCACAAAATCATTATTTTACAAACAAAGAACTATCTACTCACCAGATTCCACTCTAGATAGCCTATCTTGTCTCATACATTTCAGCCCACAGTATTCATGAACGGCACCAGATTTTCGGTTTTTAGCCCTCGGCTTACCACAGCCTGGTTTCAAACACACACCTGATAACATACAGCCGAAAGGTTATGAGTATCACCCACAATTTAGTCAGTGCCCTTAGAGATACAAATGGAAGAAGATTGTGTGCACACATACATGCACACAGACAGACGGACAAACTGACAGACATAAATCTACATTGGGCAACTACTTACCGGATTCTGCGACATCAGTTAGAGACAGTTCATCAAACTCTTTGGATAAGCCTACATTGTGTATAAAGCATTGCAGGAACTTTGTTTTACATATTATATGTGATTATTTTGAGATTACTTATCAGCACGATGTACATGTATAAATAGATTTGATTTCACATAACTAAGCTAAGCTAACCATTAGATGCAAGTAGTTATTCCTGAAGAAGTTTAATTTAAGACAAACAATTGAGTTAGCAAAAATTAAAATAGTATAATGTATTAGTTCTTAGCATTGTTAGCATTGAATTTTATTACAAGGGGCTTCCTTCTGGCCATAAACTTCCTTAGGATTCATGACAAATCACAGAAAAATACACAAAGTAATGCAGCTGGTGTTTAAAATGTCATTATCATCTGCATATGTTGTCATCATTTGATGCATTTTGCATGCTGTACTACTTTCTATGATTTCGTCAAATCAGTTTTATATTCATTGAGATCAAATGCTATTGAGCACACAATCAAATGTTCAGTATTATTAATATTATAAAAGTATTAATTTTGGTAAATCTATTAATGTTTGGAATATAATTTTATTTAAATTTATTAATTTAGCAGGAATGAAAATTCTTCAACTCGTTGCTAGGAAAAAAAAGCTATGTAACACTCAAACAAATTGTTGGAATAGGTTTGTTTATTGCCAAAGAAAGATAGAGCCAAGTGTAATTTGTTTTGTTATGCTTACTTCATTAGTATTGAGCAAATTAAAGCTTACTCAAAAACCATTTAGTCCAATACAATGACCAGCTATGGAGTGAAATTTAAACTACAAGCAGTGATTTGCTAAAACAGAATTTGAATTGTGCTACTATAAAGGACTATGAATGCCCTGTGCATCCCAGGATGTCTACATTAGTAAATATCCACAAAAATAATGACACACATATTCAAATATCCAAGTTGTGACCCGCTCAATCGAAACCATGTGTACTCACCGACATCAGCTGCCCCTGGAGGCGAAAGGTCATCAGATTCCTCTGAATCAAACCCCAGGTATTCATAAAGCAAGGGGATATTGTTATGGCGACCAGTTTTATCCATCATCCAACCGTCGCCGCCTGGTGGCATATCTTGGAGGGAGGCTGCTATCGCTTGTCGTAAAGCATCACCATCCTACAGAATTAAAACACCATATTATCACCACATTATTGTTCTGGTAAACATTAACTATACAGCTTTGAGTTAAAAAGTGTTTTGTATACAGAGGTGAGGAGAAGAATAAGTAGAAAACAAAAAAATAATAAATATAGAAAGTCTCAGTTGATACACAGATAAGTTCTGTTAAAGTTACATCAAGCATCACTGGTGTGATGAGACTTATGTTAAATATTTGATCTTCTGAATATACACAAATTGTGGGAAATAACCAACGATTTTCTTTTACTTCCAGTCGCTGGAATTCAGAGTACAAGTAGAAGTAAATTTGTGTTGATCCACACATTTAAGAATATTATTCAAAAGCATTAACATTTTTGAAAACACTTGATCAAACGGGCAGCCAAACATTTGTAAAATCATTGAAATTTAAAGTTTATTAATTATTTCCCACAATTTGTGCAAATTCAACTCATCAAATATTTTGCTAATATAGTCCTCAGAAAGGAACATTGAAGTATAATACTGTCAGTTAATTTTCCGAATGATCCAAAAAGATGAGAATATAAAAGAATGTGGCTCATACATTTTGTACCTCATCATTTTCAAAATTGAAAATGTTCTTCCTTGCAAATTGTTTCCTTCGTAAAAGAGGTGGTGTCTCCTCTGGAGGGATGAGTCCCTTGGACACAGCTGACAGAAACTCATGTCGCTTCCTTTGCACAAGCTGTGCTGACTGGATGATTTTATATCTTGGCGTGCGTAAATATGGACGGGCAACCATTTGCGATAATGTTTCAGTGGCTTCTTCAAGTTCAGTCTGAAAATCAAAGACAACAAATGTTTGTTTAAAGGCAAGTGAATCAGCAGTTGCCTTTTATGATGTGAAGAATGCCATAATTATCATACAATACACCGTTCCCTCAAGTCATGCTCTCTAGTGATAAAGAGCTTCTATGACAAAATGAAACCGTTGTTCACAGCGTCTAATTTTGATGTGATACTTGGCCGCTATTTTCATTGATAAGTGAGCTGAGCTTAATTAAATCCATATAAACATGTAAAATAACAATAGAACAATATTTCCCTACCAAGGTTGTGAACATCAAACCTAGTGAAATTGCACAAAGCATTAAAATTACAAAATTAAATGTCAGTGAAAAGGTTTTAAGGTAAGTGCACATCTAGGTTCAAGAACAAATAATTCAGGTGCGCCCTCAATGTTCAAGAAGGTATAATACAGATGCACCAACAGATGTCTTCACTATACTCTCATTCCATTGAATAAATTTCATTGCACTTCATTATTGATTCAATAATAATGAATGAGATGCGGCAGCTTTATTTGGATGGATGAGCAAGAGATGGATGTGGACAGAAAAATGTTACATTTTACGTGGGTTGGTACTTGTTGTGATATCTCTGTTATCCCATGCTCACCACCCAGGAATAACCAGATATAAAAACCCTATAATTTTATATTGTGGGAAATTCTCTAGAAACCTTATCTGAAAGCAATGCAGTACATAGTACAAGGACAGTGTCGGACTATGCTATTATCATTTGAGGTAATTGAACTTGAACACATGTGAGCTGCTGACGAGACTGACTAACTTTCTACTGCTTCCCGCTAATCCCTATCTGAATGCCTTGCCCATCTCATCAATTATTGTCACCATAACATTAAAGACATCTATACTTAGCTATTAAACTAAGGAAAAATATGTATAATTCAGGTGCACCCTCCATGTTCAAGAAAGTAGATTTCAGGTGCGCCCTGTATGTTCAAAAGGATAAAAATTTAAGTGCGCCCTCTATGCTAAAGCATCTACATCCATCACCTAATAAACCACACAATTCCATCCATTAATTTTATTTTCGGATATTTGAATATAAACCTACTTGCATAAACTCAAATATAGTTTTAGTTCTTCCATCGTCTTCCAGATAGTAACCATAGGAATAGGAAAATTTCAGTGCTCTTCTGGCTTTTAAAAGTTCATTGATAGCTTCTTCTATAAATTTTGTTTCACTAGAGGCATTCGCTGTCGAGTAATGAAGAGAATAATGTAACTTATTATAATAAATTCAATAACAGTTTTCAATTAATTAATCATATTTCAGTGATGCTTAGCTTGTCAAATCAGAATCAAGTCTGCAGTGACACTTACTTTTCTTCATAACGTGAATTTTTTTTTTTAAATTTATTTAATGGCACGTGGTGAAGAGTTGGTGCCATGTTGTACAATGCATTGTGGGAAATGTCAGCACCATGTTGTGCCATGTATTATGGGATATGTGAGAACCATATTGTGCAACAAGAAATGTGAATTTGAAGACACATTAATTTACCTGAATCTGTCACAGCCTTTGCAAGTATCAACATTTTCTCTTTCGCTGATCTTATCAGAGGCTGTTCTAATTTATAACTGTTTTCATGGTTTTTAAATCGTGTGTAATAATGTACAAATTTATTTAGCTCTTGCATCTTTAGATTCTTTTCTTCAGCCTGCAAGCAAAGAGGTTATTGATTTGTGAGTAAATATCATTCAGTGCATGGCGTAAATATCACAGTATTAACTCGCTGTGTTTGGCAAACATTTACTGCTGAGAGTATGTGGAAAGTGATTTGGGGTTCAGATTGGGTAACAGGAGTACATGTACATAGGGCGTGCTACATTGACTGGACATCCTGGTCTTCATGCCTCCCAAAAAAAGGGGGAAAAAATACTATTACACATTCAAGTTACTATGCATATATGCAATTAAATAACTGAAGTAAGTAAATGTGAAATGTTTAAAATGTTATTAAATTAATTCAAACAATAATAATGTATGGCTTTTTAATCTCATATCACTAAGCAAAATTTCAAGATATGAAGATATAATTTCATGAAAGAACCCATTTTCTATAATATTTTGGATTCTCATATCTACGAAAAATATTTCCAATATTTTTTTCTCAATTTCGGTGTTATAATGGCATTAAATTGATAATAATGAAATCAAAAAGAAGATGACATAATTTCAAATAGGTATTTAGTTGCTTAAAGTGGAGGGAGTCGTCGCCTGCACATGCCTCAGAAGGCCATAGCCTTTGAGTTTTTAGCGTGTGTTGTTATCGTCGTCTGGGACTCAATTCTCGTGTGTGCGCAGGTGACGACCCTCTCGCTTTAAGAATATAGTATTCTGATAATCCATATATTTTGAACAGTAACTATAATATAAGTTACAATTAAGGCCAGCTTAATAATCTCACCAACGTACCTCTTTTACCATCCCACCCGTCTTCTCATCAGCTTTCTGAACAGCTTCATATCTGTTACAGCGAAAGTAGCCACCTGTTGCCGATCCATGTTTGTTCCACGGCTCTAGACACACCCAGCAGAAATCATACTTGCACTGAATGGTCAATGATAATCATTAAGACTTGTAAGTAACAAGGCTGCATGGAAATGTTTACAGTTAAAAATAGTGAAAATAAATATCCATGTGGGTCCCAGCATTAGTGGGACTTGTATAACTATAAAAGATGAGCAGTAATGGTTGGGCAGCAGAAAATAGCTTAAGTGAAGCTAGTATAGTCTGCTCCTGAATACTGATGGAGCTAAATAATCATTTTGGCGAGCATGAAATAAAATTACATTTATACAGTCTAATAGGAAAAAACAATTAAATAATAAATACAATAAAGTCGGTTGACAATTAAGTTTCAGATGGTAGTTGGGAGAGATTAGAACAAGACACTCCACTTTCTCACAGTACTTGATACATGATAATGATATCAATTGGTGAGAATTTTTACATTCTCCTTGTTCAATGATGAGAATTCAAAATCTCACTGCTTTAATGACGATAATATAAATTCTTGGAAATAATTTAAAGTCTCGCCAATAAATTGATTTATTGTCTCATCAATGATGCAATGAAAATTGAATTTCTCGACATTGAACAGCGAAAATACAAAAAGTCTCTTGATATCAATGACAATTATAGTTTCTTGTACTTTTTACCATTAGTGATACTAGGCTTGTTTTCTCTTCAGAATTCTGACATAAAAAACCTGATATATACAGTACTGTTCGCCAAGGCACAGCCATGAATGATATCTAGATTTCATAATTAAATGCAAACTGTAATGTCTCTACTGGCTTCTACAGTTACTCAGACAGCAAAGTTTGGATCCTACCTTGGTACATTTCATATGGTTGCATCCTTCGTTCTTCTGAATGGGTGAGCTGCACTTTGGACAGGGTTTTGAATTAGTGACCAGCCATAGAAAGTTAGCTGCCGATTCTGAATCCTTGGTTGTGTTGGACACTAACAAAACAAGATATAATTTATATGTGAGCAAATACAAATACAGTTCAAAAGCGAAAATGTTTGGTCCCAGGAATCAAGTGTTAGTAGCAAGACTCATACAACATAGTGTGATCATTTCTTGTGCATGTACATGCTGTATGACTAATCAAGAATGCCCATGCTGCATTGGTTGTTGTACGTCTAATAACTATGGCTGACACATTGCACAGTAATTCATATGAAGCATGTAACATGAAGTGCTGCTGTCAAGTTGAGACATGGTGGTAAATAAAACACAAAGACAGTAGCAATACATGTTTTGTAATGGTAAAATTACACACATCTCCAGACATGCTGCATATATGTAATGAACACACTATTCTGTCCTAACTTGTATAAATTATTTATTTTTCATATTATACAGATCAGATAGAATGCATTTACTTACACTCCTCTGGCTTGACCTCAGCTATTTTTTCATGCCACTTTTTCAGGTTTTCACAACTACAAGGCTCATGTGCTTCACCAAGACAGTCCCTGTGATAGAAGATAAACAAAATCCTTTTCAATGGCATGCATATACTAAATGTTAAATCAATGAACCAGTTTAATTTATTCCAGTCATGTAACAAAACTAAACTCTACAGTTCTAAGTCATAGTCATGATCTGGGTTTTATTTGGCCAAGAAACATCAAGTGATTGTGTTATCTAACGTTTTGAAATTACTGATTTCAACTTTTGTATTCTGAAAAAGTGTAATTTTAGTGAGCATGAATTTTCAAACTTTACTAAAGTCAGTCTGAATGTTCTTTTGTTATGTTAGTGTATTTCTTTGGGAGTAATTTATGAAGAACTCACCAACAGAAGAAGTGCCCTTGTCCACAGTCCACAGATTGTGAAGTCTGAGGACTTGAGAGGTAGTTGGTGGCTGTTCCTCTGACTGGAGTGTCAACCCCCGGATATTTGACAGCTCTGCCACACCCTGGAGCTGGACACCATTTAATGTGAGGATTACTGTCTACAAATGCCTGAAAAAAAAGATAGATTAAATTACTGACAAATTTAAGACAGTTGAAATTTTTTCTGGACAGTATGCTTCCCATACAGTTTTATGTCACCCTAACCCATGATGGCAGTTTAACGGCATCCTCCGAACCCATGGTGGCAGTTTCACTGCACCCTCCTAACCCATGGTGGCAGTTTCACGGCACCTTCCTAACCCATGGTGGCAGTTTCACGGTGCCTTCCTAACCCATGGTGGCAGTTTCACACCCAAAAACACCCTAAGCCATGGTAGCAGTTTCAAGACACCCTAACCCATGGTAGCAGTTTCCGGCACTCAAATCCATGGTAGCAGTTTCACGGCACCCTAATTCATGGCAGGAGTTTCATGGAACCATAAGCCATGGTACATGTAGCAGTTTCACGGCACTATAAGCCATAATTTCTCAACTATTGTCATCTCAAATAAAATACAGTAATGTTTGTAATTTGTTTCTTTCTTTGATTCTAAAACAAATTTGCAAAAGATTGAAGTGAGAATTTTGACGTAAAAATGCACTATAATTACAAAAATGTTAACCTTAATGTCAAACAGCAGATATCTTCTTGCCATGTCTCTGGACACCAGGTTCTCTATAGTTTCCAATGGCACAAGCTTGGTACAGTCAAACGCTGGGCATCGGATATTGTGAGCATTGCCCTCTTGAATCTTACCCGTTAAATAACTACAGACAAATTTGTAAGCAGATATAAACAAAGTATGTGACTCACTGGACTGTTCAGTTGTTTTAAATCGACGTACAAATGATTCCTCTTCTAGTTACATTTTATGTATTAAATGCACCATACATGTGGTTTCTTTTTGAAATTTTAAAATTTTAGTTTTTATAAAAAGACAAAGTCTGATAGCCAGCCCAGACTGGACTGTTACAGTAGTGATACTGTAACATCATTGCCCTCCAGAGAAATGTTTAAGAGATTCATTTTTGAGAAATGAAAGTGGTTTCACTGTTTCTATTTATAAAACACTGTGTACTCACTGCACTAACTCAGTCCTAGATTGAATGAATATTAAATCTTATAAAAGCCCATAAAATTTGTATGTAAAATTTCAATCAAATCTCAATGTGTTGGTATAGTGACAAAAGTGGGAGCTGAACGACATTAACTGCCTAAAGCTTGATAGATGTTTCACTCAGTTAAATATTACGGTTCAGATTTCTGAATCAGATAGAATCAGATTTCAACAATTTAAATTATTTCAACACAAAAGAATTTCAACAACTGAAATTTAAACTTCAATTCAGGTTTGTGAGTTAAATTCTCTTTATTTGAGAGAGAATTTGTAAAAGACGTTGCATCATGAGTCAGTGCAATGTTTACATATGTGCAGCCGCGATATTTAGCTGTTGGAGATTGGATTACATGTGAGGTTGTTTGCAGACATTAAACTAATGAATAGAGATGGAGCAGGTATGTGAATTATTTTGGAGCAAACATGTACTAAGTTTGATTGAAATGAAATAATCAGTAATTGAGATATTAGTGTGAAAGCAAAAAATTGAAACTGTAAAGTTGACAAAAACACTGACGAAGAGCAATCTGTAATATGAATAGCCCCGTTAAACTTCTACAACAGCATGAATAAAAATGGTATGGGTGATTTTAATTTATCTTGAGTATAAATTTAATACAAGAAAATGACTTTTCTGTATAACTCACCTTTGCCAACACTCTCGACAAAACTGATGGTTACAAGGCATGTCAACAGGCTCCTCAGTAAATGCAATACTCCCAGCACAAATATCACACTGTAAAAAAACAACAGTGAGATATAGGATAATACACTGTGTTTAACTTTTTCACCACGAGACTTTCTCATCCAAATGTTCCTGCACTTTTTTTTCTTATACTGTAAAATACTTTATTTTCGCTTGGAATTAATTTTCGCTATTTTTGCTGAAAGAATGATTGAGCGAAAATAAAAACCTCCGAATATACCTTTTTTTCTATATTTTAAGTTGAAATCAATGAAAATAAATTTCATACAAAAGTATTTTACAGTATACTTCAATATTTCTAGAAATGAACCCTAATTTTGGAGCCAAAAGACTAAAATTTGAGTCAATTTTCAGTTTTTATTAAAAAATTTGGCTATTTTTGTCCTTAGTCCAGGACTATTTTGTGAATTTGTGATGAAAAGAGGGAACTGGTGGTGAAAAGGTTAAAACTAAATTATTCAACATTTCTGATCAAAAGCTGTAAGGAAGGTCAGGTTGTTAGCAAATGTTCTTATAAGTACATACTAGAAATGATAGACGAAAAAATAAAGTGTAGCTTTCAGTCCCTCCCCCCTCCCCAACTTTTATATGTCACCCAGTTATCACATAATTACATTTTTAACTACACTAGCTTGTGTGACAATCTTCCTAGTTGATGCACTACAATTATCCTGACATAATCTTTTCACCACCAGTTCCCTCTTATCATCACAAATTCACAGAATAGTTCCTGTAGCACTTTCCTTTTTTGTGTGAACAAGGAATGGATAACTCAAGTATGATGACTGGGTGATGCAAAAGCGTGTGAATATATGTGCTGAGTTATGTAAAAGAAGTACTAGTTGTTAAAGATACAGTCTGAGACCACTCATGACCTTACAATTAGGTATTCATTTGATGTCAAATATTTGTTGGTCTGAATGTAACGCAAACAGGAAGAAATATTTACAAAAGGTGCAAATTTTAATGTTTTAGTATGTCTAAACATTTGTAATCATTTTGGTTAACCATTTAATTGTGTGTTAAATTTCATTTGCTAACGAATAGCATTCTGATGTTTAGAGATTCACAGAGATCCACCTACTTGTTCTGAATTTTTGTAGCAAGGCAAACTACAAATGATTCATTAAATATTTCATGAAATTTACACATACATGTATATACACATCAAGAATATACATTTTTTTTGCTCAAATAATCAGACAATCGAAAATTATTTAAAAGCTTCAAGCATTAAGTGGATTTTCTCTTATTTAAACTTCCCCAGAGTTATAAGACTTGCATGTAACTGATAACATACAGCTACTCAACAGCTGGAGCAATTGACAGTTAACAACATTTGCCAGGTTTATTCTGAGATAGTCAGAAAGGTAACTAGGTGAAGCCTTGAGATCTTGAGGTTAATGAGATCCACGGAGAACAGAGAAGTAATTACACAACCAGACTGATGTCTACACCAGTGTCTGATGATCATCTGTTATTTCATTCCCTTGGCGAAATAAACAAATCCAATACATTAGCAGAAGCACACGTACATAAACTAAAAACTCAATTTTTTTCCTGCTAGATTATTAAATATAATTTATTTTGACCATAGACACACTTGTCATTTATGCAAGTGCATGCACTACTTGTACACTGTAGTACATACCCCGGTATACACTAAAAACAAGTCATTGAAAATGACACAGTCCCCGCCAAATTTTTGAAAGTTCTCTTTGTGCTCGTCATATTAAAGTGAAGGGGTTGTTGTGAGCATGTCCTTGAAACTTGAGTCCCAAGTGGTGTATACAACAGATTGTTTATTTACATCAAATTCGAACACATGTTGTGTGACGACTGCATAGCAAAGAAAAACATAGATCACAAGTGAAAGCATGTCCAAGTTATCACATTTTAAACAAACAAGATGGCCGCCAGTCGGCCATATTTCATCAAATTGCAAATTAAATTGATATGTACATGTATCCATTTATGACATGCTAAATATCAATGAAAATGATACATGGGTGACAGAGATATAGTAAAATGGCCAAATATAAAAACAGTTGTTATTCGGCCATCTTTGATCTGATTATGAAACAAACTGACATGTACAAATAAAAATGGTACATAAATCTTGGAAATATAGCAGTAAGGCCAAAAAGTCAGAAGGCTGTCAATCAGCCATCCTTGATCTGATTTTGAAACAAATTGTCATAGACATGTATCCTAACATGTATATTCTTCGTACCAAGTTTGAATGAAAACTGACAAAGCATGTCGAAAATACAACATTTTCAAAAAACAAGATGGCTGCCAGTCGGCCATTTTGAATTGAATCGCTAAACCACTGCACGTGCATATGTTCCACATAAAGTACTAGGCAAAGAATGAACGGAATCGATCCAACAGATTCTGATATATGACGGAAGGACGCACGGACGCACGAACGGAGACCTAATTATAAGTCCTCGTTTTTGGACTTCGTCCAAACGGGGACTAATAAAAAGTGTGAGACCAGAAAGTTTGGTGGCAACAATACATATTTATTGTTGTCATTTATTCTTGATTAAGCTGTGAGAGATAATACGTATTCTTGTAATTCTCAAACAGCATCCAAATGCGAACTAATCATTTATGTATGTAATCAGAATCTGGTGCATGGCAACTATTTTATCAATAACCGCAACATTGAAGGAAATTTTGCCCACATTATCTAAGGTCCTCAATTTTTTTTTTCTTTTGAGATAGCTACAAATAACAGGAAGAGACACAGTTAATCCATAAAATGTTATGGACCTGTAACAATCTGAATAGTCTAAAAATAATGTTGAGCTTAAAAAACAAATTACCAAGAAACTGATTTGATACAAAGTGAAGCAGTTAGCTGATACCAAATCAATAGAAGAAAACGACACATCCGTCAATCACACAGCAAACAAAGAGTTTATTTACAGCATTCATTTCAACCATGTATTTTTGCAGACAGTCAATATTTAATGCTTGTTATTATTATTTTGTCATGAAATTAAATCTTAATAATTAAATTTCCATTTTAAACAGTGCAGAATTTTTATCAATAGTGTAATTTCAGTAGACGGTAGTGAATTTGTAAAAAAAAAAAATGCGTGGGCATGTAGCAATTGTAATGTAGGATATACTGTACAGATAGGTATTAGACACATCAGTCTGTGCATTGCGTGCATGAAATGAAATACAAATGAATATACAATAAGTACAAGAGCAGCTCACGTAAAAGTAAGCACCAGAGAAGTGGGAAATCGTGATGTTTTTTTTTTCTTTCTTCTTTTTCAGAATTGAGCACCTTACAAAACGTACAACTCATATTCAAATGATCTCAGTCAGGTTTTTGTTTTTTGGAGCTGTTACACATTTAGTGTATAACGTATAGTAGCTACATTGTAAACTTGCATACAGGTTTAATCGGAGGTTACATGTATCAAGAGATGACACTACATGACATTGTATAGACTATAAATGGTAATTTGTAGACAGCAAAGAATGAGCAATGTTATGTGTGCATCATGAAATATAAATATACATTTTTAGTTCTAAACTACTGTACCCGGTATGTTGTGATCATTGTGTTAAATTTGGTGTGTATTAATTTGCTGAATGTTACCTTAGATAGATGCATGGCCTTTAGTGAGTAGGCATTAATATCTCCTGTATTGTATATATGTATATATACTAGTACATAGTACCGCTCATGTTACAGAGGTACCGTCACCACAGCAGTGTTGCTTTACAATTCAAGACAAGATCTAAAAAATCATTCCACTGCCACATCCTAATGATGTGCTATGTTTACACGATAGCGTTTTATCAGAGCCAAACGGCTCAAGTCAGCGATAATGGACATGTATACACGTTTAGCTTGAGCCATGTTTGGCACTAATAAATCCTCGGAGTCGAACTTCGATAGGGTTGAGCCCCGACATGGCTCTGACTGTGTATACACATAGGGCCCAACTATCGAAGCCGAAATCATGCCTTCAATTGTCTTCTTCAAGTAGCTTCTCATTTAAATTATGGCGTAGACAACATCGTTTGTAATTTCACGTAATTTTTGGCTTGAAAAAGAGGTACGCGCTCTAATATCTATTTGGCAGAGTAAAAAAATACTGCAATAGATTGAATAGCTCAATGGGAAATGGCTTACAAAAACAGGACAGTTGAACAGATCCAATAGAAATTGAAGAAACTTTATAAAGACACCAAAGATAAAAATCGTAGAAGCGGTTACGGTACGAGGACGTGTTCCTATTCGGTTTAGGTTGACAACTGTTACACATACATATCACAACAATTGCAATAACACGATGGTAATTTTACATGACAAAAACGAATAGGCAGTAACACATTTAGCGTATTTTAGCTGCAGTGTATCATGTTTATTCGAGATACCTAAATCATAACACCTGTGCATTGTGTCACGACTGTTTCTTTTTTTTTCTTCCCAGCTCAACAGCATCGTGCTATTTAAACAAGCAGCCAGTCAACTGAGGTAGCTCTGCTGTTAGCAATGCACATTTCAATTAAAGAACAGAAGATATCATTAGAAAATGAACAATATGCATAGTATCAATGCTATGGGACTTGCTGTTTTCAACAAGAATTCAAAAATATCATTTTTCACCATAAATGTTTTTTACAAGAAGTCGAAAATATCACTTTTTACCAAGAATGACAAAAATATTCACCAAAATTAGAGAATTGAAGATATGATGATGAAATGAACAAATCGGGGGGAAGGTCTACCCAAGGTACATATACACCAAGTAACAAAGCATTCAGGCTTGTAGTTTTCAAGAAGAAGTCGAAAAAGTAAAACATTGACACGGACGACAGATGACGACGAACAATCACTTCATATTATAAGCTCCGCTCGACAAAGTCGACAGCGGAGCTAAAAAAAAAAACACGCATGGCACCAATACTAATTATTTGAGGGCACTGTTCCTTTCCACTCTAATCGAACTGAATCAAACTCTGGCAGATCTCAGCTCTCGTTCAGCCTCCCGACTATGTAAATGCATTGAAGATAATCGATGGGAGGAGTAGTAGTTCGGCTCCGATAGAATGCTGTCGTGTAAAATATAGCAATGGATTCTGACAGCAATTTAATTGTATTTAGAACCATTAGCAATGGAAATATACATGCTATACTTTGAAACAATCAAAGAAATAAAAGAACCAATGGTGTGTGGACTAATGGTTAATGGACTGAACAATTCTAATCGGATTAAAAATAGGACACAGTATGCAGTAAAATGACAATCATGCCTCGAAGTAGAAGAAAATGAGACACTTACAGCCGAGTAATTAGCCTTCTCCACTTTGCGTAATACAGCGCTAATAATCCCTATGTAATCTTGTCATGGTTTATTGAATCACATTAAAGTGTGTTGAGAAAGGACAGATTACAAAATTGACATGCAAAGCAGTTTTTTTTTTTTTTTTTTCTCAAGGAAAGCTCAGATCTAGTAAATCAAGATGTAGTTGAAAACTGATGTGTGATTCTGATGCAAGTGAAAATAAATCTTCAGCTAAATCTCTTATACTGTAATAACACTAATTACATAGATGACTCAGAGCTGGGTTTAGACTGTTATGGTTACCTTACTGATGTCTTTTCTCAACGTGAGACTGCAACCTGACATTTCAGATAAATTATAGTGCAAAGACATACATGTAGTACAGTGCATGTATTTTTTATATACACGTAATGTATATACATGTAGTAGCATGGGACCCATATATCAAACTAAGCATATCTTGTGTTCGCCACAAAAGGTTGTATGTTACATATGGGTTCCATGATGAGGCAATGTATACACAGTGTATGCATATGTAAAATGCATTGGTGGTTTATAAAAAATTCTAACACATGCGATGCAACCATGCATGCACTGATACACTTCCATCTAATTTAAAATGGCTACTGTGGGGAAATAGAACATCACAATAAATATTGAGCTTATTCATCAACATAGTTCATGTATCTCCACAATAATTCACTCTATTTTGATGACAGCACATTGTAACAAAATGTCAAGGGTCGTCAGACAAATGGAACCAAAACTGCTTTAAGGTAAGGAATACCCAAGAATTGTAACAAACTTCTGCCATTGATCATACAATTCAATTAGAAATATAGACAGTAAATTTCTTTGTTAAAAAATCGAAGGTAAAAGCATTATGCTGTGGAAAGTACAGTGTGTTATTTAACAAAATTATTGAGCGCAGAGCTTGGCTAGTTTATGCACAAGACAGATTTGTTTCTTGTTTTATAGAAAAATTGATTAATTCTACGCATTTTACTACAGATTTGTCACAAAAGCTATCATTGAAAATTTATCTGCAAGGACACCAAATTGTGATAAATTGCTCACTTTTGTCCATGCAAATATTCAAAACCCAATATCTTGTTTTTTGTATATTGCTTTCAAAACACTTTTCAGCCATGTGACATTTCGTGATACATCTTCCAGTTCTAATATTTGGTGTAAAAATCCCAGAAATATTCGCTTTCTTATAAATATCACATTTGGAATTTACATTTATTAAACAAAACAAATAAACAAAATTGTGGCATTATCGATTATAGTTTCCAAGATATGATATTTTACAACTTTCAGGATGTTGTTAATGGTGGCCATTTTGAAATCCAAGATGGCAGCCCTCCCAAAAAAATGCCCGGATGCCAACATCATTTTTTATCATCGTGAGGAGTATATACATCCATTTATATAGGTTGGCATATCCTACCCAGTATCATGGTCACATTCAATATTTTTGATAAATTCATCCTGACTAAACCTTAATGAAGCTATGTACAGGTGGTGATGGTGCGATGGAGTGAAGGGGGTCGGACAAGCAACCCAACCTTGATAGTTAATGGTATTTTGTTGAGTTTTAGTAAATGCAATCATTTGTCTAGCTCAATATTAGTTTAATCTTAGATTGGTTTAATACTTCATATTATAAGAACGTTACTAATTATTATTAAAATATACATGTACTATGTACTGGACAGGTAGTTGAGTTCAAGTTCTGCTATGGTTGGTGCTTCCAAAACTCCAGCATACAAACCATGGCACTATTTTAAAAGCATGGATCTTGAGTTGTGATCATTTTATGTGTCAATGAATACAATGGTTTTATACCAGTGGCCAAGTACAATACTTTAAGTTTTCCCCTATTCAAGGGTCCTCAAATGTAGTACAGGCTTAAACTAGTGTTAATTCTTCACATGGATAAATACTTACGACAATTTCACTGCAGTGAACTTCCTCCCCTGATATTCGATGAGCAGCCATCATGTCTACACTGAAGTCAGTTGGTGGTTTGACACCCGCCTTCTCACATGTTGCGATAGGATCTCTCATCCAGGCTTCTAGTAAATTCTCTCTTGACCACTCTAAAGGAAATAATGATGTAATCTGATCTTTGTGACCAAACTTATATAAGACAACCTATCCATATTTATAACACCTTACGGAAGTCCCAAAACAATTTACATGTAAAGACCATGCACTGTCTAATGTGACCAGTGACCACCCTTTTGGAACCGGTTTGGTCGAATAATCAACCTGTGTACAAAAGCTAAAATGATGGTTGCATAATTATTTTTTTACACAAATCTCATGCAACGATGACATTTTCAACTCAATCGTATAAACTAATTTTTCCCTAAACAGAAGGGGCAATTCACATTGAAATGCCCATGGTTTCTATACAACATATACCGTGCATACACTGTATGTAATGCATTGTTTTTTTACACAAAATTCTAATACATGATGCACAAAAATAATCACAACTCTGTTGAATTATCGACCAGCATTCAGATTCATGCTAAACTGTAACTCATTCCGATCATTTCAGCAGTGAGAAATATACCCAAAAGCGCTTGACGTGCAGATATCAGCAAGCCGACACAATTGAGTTACTCATAGATTTTTTAAGTCATGTATTTTGTTAAACAATGAGGTACACATATTAACTATACATGCATTATACAAACCATGATTTCTTAACAAGGCCTCGGCAGTAAATAAAGGCACTCTTAACATATCGGATGTTTCCACTAAAAGTTGATCTTTGGCTTCTTGAAGATCCTGAGGTCTTAGTCCCGTGTAAGGCTGTGAAAATCAAGCAATAACAGTTGTTACATACATCCCAACTGCTGTGCACAATTAAGATAATAATTCTAAATCTATTTACTTTGTATGAGAGCAAAATTTCAGCAGCAATCATTAGAGAGCTCAGTCAATGCATACAACTGTATATGCATAGTAGCGCTACTTTTTATACTACTTTCTACAGGTACATTGTATCTGTCATAATGACTACATGAATATGTCAGTATTTCTAGTATGCAAAAATGAAGAATAGCCCCATTCTCAGGCTTTGGGCACGAAAAAAAACACAGGAACAAACGTTCAGATTATGTTTAAGCTAAATATGCACAAGTGTTTCAATCGACCATTTTCCATTCACTGCGAGAATCACGCGTTATGCGTGAAATCGAACGTAAAAACAGGACAAACAAAGGTCATAGCGTCGTAGTCGCGTCAAACATCGCGTGGGATTCGACAAACGCGAAAAGTATTTCGGGGACATTTCCATGCTTAATAATGTGCTGTCCACATTTGATGATAGGCAATTTCGATTAAGTAAGGGTATTCGGAAGCAATATTCCTCTGTCGAAGATCAGCCAGCCAATGTAAGCTACGAAATAAAGAAATTCTAGTTCAAAATCAAATCGTTCCATTTTTGCGGCAGACGTTCGACGCGCGTCTTTCATGCATCTCGCGAGATCTCGCAATTGTACGGAAAATCATCTATTCAATAAGTGACAATTTTTTACCCGTAACACAAACTACTCTTTGTATCTGGTATATACTGTAAATCGTTTGATTTTCACAGCTAGAAATGTTTGCCCCTTTTATAGCTTTCGTGAGGAAAGTATTTCATGAAAGTCACTGACACATTGTGTTGTAGAACCTCAGAGAAACGCTCACTGCTATAAAATTTCGAGATTTTCATCGTCTAGCGAATTTCGCAAAACAAATTTGTCTCTGACAAAATTAAGGTGAATTACAGTATTCTGCAAGTGTACAAATTCTTAGCAACTATAACTTTTTTCAATCATTTGAGAATCCAAGCTTTGATTCTTCATGCACATTTAGGCCAAAATTGACATTGTTCAATGCTGTACTAAACAGACTGTAATACATTGTTTCTACCCAATATAAAGCCAGAATTCTGATTCCTAACAATGTACAAGTTGTAGAAAACAATTGGAACAGCCAACTCCGTGTACCGGTAGTTATGTAGGGTTAGAGAGAAAAGAGAGACACATTCATTGCACAAGAACTGTACTTCCTATGTTCATTTACATCATCCCACTTCAAATGACAATTCATATTTAGTTCAAGTGTATTCCTAAACATTTTTGTGATGAATGCAAAGAATCCAATAATGGTATTTATTACATATGTACTGCAGTTTATTTTGATTCGTCCCTGAAATCAAAATCGGTATTTCCACAACCCATATGCAAATGAGGTCCGAGAGCAAACAAAGTAGTCCCTTCAGGAGTACAGTTTTTCGGAATAAACAATATTTAGAAGTACAATATTTTCCCCTTGGGGTACATGAATATACTTGCCGAGTAACAATTTGAACAACAGTAATGGTACTTTTAGGCAGACACTTATTTTGGCCCAAACTAATTTGCATATCACCCATGCAATAATGTTTTCGGTATTTTCACGGTCAATATGCAAATGAACATGGTATTTTCATTGGCTACCGAACTATTTTTATTTTGTAAACACATTTTCGTCTGCTATTTTTATCCAGTTCAAATCGTTCAACAACATTTTTGGCATGTCAGGTGTACATCACATGGAATACTACGATTGGGAAAACTTAATGTGTGTTGACCACCTGGAAACTGAGTTTTATAAACTTTGAAGGGTTCTCAGAAGATCCACCAGCAGTAAAATCAGCGATTACTATGCAGCCGCAACCATCAGCATCGAGATACCAGGTTTCTGCTGGCGACGTTGCGGCGTTACTCAGTTCCAAATAAAAATTACAAACGGCAAAAGAGCAACATTTTAACCGGTAATCAAGACTCAGTCAATCCACGACCAGCAAGCTACATCACACACGAAGGTGTAGCGTGCAGCCACAGTCCCTCAACGA